GGGCATGGCACGGCACGCCTCGCCTCGCCTCGCCTCATCCTCGCCTCATCCCCTCTCATCCCCTCTCATCCCCTCTCATCCCACCTCATCCCACCTCATCCCATCTCATCCCATCCCCTGCTCCCGCGTCTGACATGGCAAAACCTCTGCGTACAAGGAGAAAACCGGGTCAGCTACAACACAGAGGATAAGCCGCGTGTGTGGATTTTTCGTGGAAGATGGCAGGTGAAGTATACAGTGTTCCCCTATAATGTTACTGTACTGCACGTGCGCCTCCTAAATAAACTCAAGAGGAGGGATGACTGGTGAGGAGTCCGTGGACCACAGCCAAAATTAAGCAACAGTTCTTTAAAACAGAGCAAATTTTATTGCACAAAACAACAATGGGGAGTAAGAAGGGCAGAGATCCTTGTTGGAAGTGCTGCTGCGTCTATACCAAGTGGAAGGAGATGAACTACCATGGCTGCATATGGCCAGGGGAGAAGCTGGCCTGCCAGGAAAGGGTTACTGCAACCTACGGACTCTTACAAACGTGGGACCATCCTGATTAGCTGTATGCTTGAAATTGGTCACCATAAAAAAGGCTCACGATAGCAGCAATAACAGGACAGTGAAAATGACTTGTGGTTACACAGAGAAAACACACACTTCAGTACAAGGATTGTGCAAACTGGCACCTTTACATGCTCACCTTTATTTAAAAATTAGTGATTGTACCACTCAAGCTTAGTAAGAAAAAACTTGACGGCATCAATCAAGTACACTCTAGAGCAGTAATGATTCCCAAATAGAAAAGGGCGTGAGACGTGCACTGGGATGGAGAGGATGTTTTTGTCGCTGTCTCACCATAGGCTCTGACCACATTAGCAGTCAAGACTGCATTGGTGTCCTGATAAGCATCATTTTGGACTGAATTACTTGCCAGTGAATGTAGGTGCTGATTAAAGTATGGAACCATTACTTTTTTCAAGTTAAGCCATTAAATATTAGTTTCATTGTTTAACGAGTTCATAGCTAGAATCATAGAATCACTTAGGTTGGAAAAGACCTTTAAGATCATCCAGTCCAACCATTAACCTACACTACCAAGTCTACCACTAAACCAGCTGAGGGTAGAGTAATAATTTCATGTTTCCTGGCTTGGTGGCTGGATTATTTTTTAATGAAAGTAAAAACTAGGAATCATTAAGGTTGGAAAGCATCTGTAAGATCATCAGTCCAACCATCAACCCAACACCACCATGCCTACTAAACCATGTCCCAAAGTGCCACATCTACCCATTTTTTGAACACTTCCAGGGATGGTGACTCCACCACCTCTCTGGGCAGCCTCTTCCAATGCCTGACCATTCTTTCAGTAAAGAAATTTTTCCTAATGTCCAATCTAAATCTCCCCTGATGCAGCTTGAGCCCATTTCCTCTCATCCTATCACTAGTTACTTGGGAAAAGAGAATGACACCCACCTCACTACAACCTCCTTTCAGGCAGTTGTAGAGAGCGATAAGGTCTCCCCTCAGCCTCCTCTTCTCCAGACTAAACAACCCCAGTTCCCTCAGCCGCTCCTCCTAAGGCCTGTGCTCCAGACCCTTCACCAGCCTTGTTGCCCGCCTCTGAACACGCTCCAGCACCTCAATGTCTTTCTTGTATTGAGGGGCCCAAAACTGGACACAGTATTCCAGGTGCAGCCTCACCAGTGCCGAGTACAGGGGGACGACCACTTCCCTGCTCCTGCTGGCCACACCATTCCTTGATACAAGCCAGGATGCTGTTAGCCGCCTTGGCCACCTGGGCACACTGCTGGCTCATGTTCAGCCAGCTGTCGACCAACACCCCCAGGTCCTTTTCTGCCAGGCAGCTTTCCAGCCACTCTTCCCCAAGCCTGTAGCATTGCATGGGGTTGTTGTGACCGAAGTGCAGGACCCGGCACTTGGCCTTGTTGAACCTCATACAGTTGGCCTCGGCCCATGGGTCCAGCCTGTCCTGATCCCTCTGCAGGGCCATCCTACCCTGGAGCAGATTGACACTCCCACCCAATTTGGTGTCATCTGCAAACTTACTGAGGGTGCACTCAATCCCCTCATCCAGATCGTTGATAAGAACATTCAGAAAGACTGAATAGTCTCTTGAAGAAATGAATAGTTGCATCCTTTTTATGGCAAAGAGAACTGAGGCATGCTAGACATTTCAGCAAAGTACATCAATGCTAAGTATTTAATATACAATGATGACATTCACATTGTTGACTTGTGTAATCATAAACAAAAGTGCAAAGGAAGGTCTCAAATAAGAATCGAGTCAGTTGCACAGTTTATCAAACTACTGAACAGTGGGAATTGCATTTTTCATTTTGGTGTTAAGAGAACTTCTTCATGAAGTGCAGTTTCAGGAATGCAATGGCAAGGAACATTACTGTCATGCAGGCCAGAGCCAGGTGGTTCTGCCACAGGCCCCAGCTACTTGCATCAATACCTTGAGTTTTCAGATATTCATCTCCAGTACACCACCTACAGATAAACACACACATTTATAAACTTAGTCAGTTTGAAGTATCTAGGAAGATCCCTAGAAGTTGTAGTGTTTATAGTAGGCCAGGCAAACACCAGCTATATGTTACTATTTTATTTGCTATTTGTAAATTTCTTTTTCTTGCAGCTACAATCAGTTTCCTGTAGGAGGCTGAAATGGGTTTTGTGAGGCTTTATAATTGTAGTGTATGTATGTGTTTCAGTAAACACAGTTTAAAGAAAAGTGAGAAGCATAATGCCAGATATCTCTAGCGTTATAAATACTAAATATGACAATAAGCAGAATGTTCTCTGCAGACAGAATGCAAAAACCCAGTCAAAACATCATTGTCCATATAAAAACTCCCAGATTCTGCTGGTCATTAGCAAGTATCTCACAAACAGACTAATGTGCTAGAACTTTGTAAGTTACTGGTGGTGGGATTCACTTTAATGCACCAAAATACTTACGGCCCACTTATCTGTTCATAGTTATTGTTGCTAATTAAATTCGTGTTGTTACTGCTGCTGCAAAAGTTCAGACCAGTCAATTCATTGATTTGTAAAGCCTTTTAAAATAAAAGGAACAATGACAACAGAAATTAGCAGGTAAAGGAATGCTGCATTGACAAGACAAGATATAATTCAATTCAAATTTATTCTAAAAAAACGTGATGGTATCACTATTTATGATGTTGTCCAAATCCCTATTTTTTAACTGAGCATCACAGTTCTTTTAAGAGAGGAATGTATGCAGTCCACACCCTGTAATGCACCCTTGTCACCAGGCTTTAACACCTCCCCAGGCTAGACTATTTCTGCACAGGCATATTAATGCCCAAATTTCTCTGCAAAACATCATCCTGGCTTAAGTTATCAAAAATTGGGAGAAAAGTTTTAGCTTGACAACTTTTTGTTTGATTGATGGAAAAGAGAAGAATTGGGTTTTAGGGATAACATTGTTCTTTACTTTGTATCATTTTTGTCCAAGTGCATTCCAGTGGATGTAGTTGTTGAGGGTCTCTCTCTTGCATGGTGTTTCCAAGTTAGAGAAATGAGCTCTTCTAAACAGCAGTGGGTGCTGGTTGATGAGAAGCCTTTCTTGTTTCAAGATACTGCACTACATTCTGAGGTTGCTGTATCTAATTAGTTTACCTTTTGCTCATTAGCCCATAAAGTTTGGAGTTCTCTTTATCATGAGTAAAGACGTTCCTTTCTAGCAAATCTTTTCCATGTCTGTACACAGGAAAATACAGCACTTACTGTCATTCCATATCGAGGGATGCTAAAGTATTTGAGCCAGGAGAGCCAGGACATGATGCTTGTGAGATTGACCAGCAACCCGGAGAAAATCTAGAGGCAAGGATTACAAAAAAGCCACAACAACAACAACAACAAAAAAAACCCAAATTACAGATTACATGCTGTTACTGTGTGTTCTTCTCTAGCGCTTGACTCTGCTTCTTCAAATTAAAAACAAGTGGGAAGGCATTTCTAGCGGAAGAAACTCTTCCAGTAGAAGAACAGGGGAGAGGGAAGGAATAATATGTTACCCAGCTTTGAGACATAACCCCATGTGGTCCTTCTCCCGAAATGAGTAACAGGGAATGCTTTCACCCATGCACTAAACCCAGATGCTTCCCATCTGTGGGTCCCATATGGGTTCACATGAACTATCTGCTGTTACTTGGGTGTGTGGAGTTGCTGAAGGGGTGCACTTGGCTTTGCTTGTGTGCCCTGAGTCTGAGGCAACGTGGGTTTTGGCTGCTGGTTCAGCACTGCCTCGCTGTTTATGGTGCCTGTCTTCTAACTGTAGCTGTTTGTGTGTTGTCCAGTTCTAACATGCCCGATGGTTAGCTCTGCAGCTGGGGAGGGCAACTACAGTAGTGGTCTCAGAGAGCAGGAGGCTGCAGGTCGTGTCCTCAGCCAGCCAAATTTGTCTTTGGCAAAGCTTAAGGAGAGTGAACAAAATGTAGCTCTAGGCTGCTTTTCTGCTTTCCAGGCAGTATGCTGGCTGCCAGAGCCGCAGAGAAGAGGGCAGAGGAACCACTCTCCCTCCCCCTCACACCCAGCCCTCTGGCCCCCCGGTTCTTGTTAGCTAAAAGGACAAATCAGAATGTTCAACGCCCACAGTATCAGAATAGTGAAATCGGACAAATCAGGATATTCGACATGCTCAACCCCACAGTCTTTTTGCAGAATTCAGGAGAACTCTGTACTGGTAGGATTTCTAGATTTCAGAATTTCTAGGATTTCAGGATTCAGTCTAGAAAGTGAATAGTGCTACTCACAATCATAAAAACAAATGTGATAGTCGTGAGCAGGTTTGCTACAGCGACCACGCTCTGTCCTGCTGCAATGGCTAGTGCCATGGAAGTCGCTGTGTAGGACACCATCATAAGGGTAAACATCATTGTAAAGAAGGCTTCTACTGTTGGTTTCAAACCTTAAAGATCAGAACAAGAAGGGTATCAGTATGATCCTGCCAAAAGCTCTACCATAACCTGAACACTATCCTGACTTACATAGTGTATCCTGCCTACAGAATACATTTTGTCTGACAGCATAGGCTATGTCACTGAGACCCAAGACTGCAGTGGGGCTTGTGACAGCCCATATGTGTATGCCCTGTCAACAGAGGACAGGATGAATAAGTAGCATGCCTGTAACTGCAGTAACCCTGGAGATAGCAGAATGGGTAGATTTTACAGTACTGTACTCCACACAGTCCAAGGTGAAGGCTTCACTGTGGCTTCAAGTTGTCTTTCAAAGGAGACATTTCTAGTGCACTTCCACGAGCAGCAGTTGTACAGCTTTTCACTTGTTTCCAGCAGAGAGCTCTCCTAATGGACCTAGTGGCCTTTGGGTGGCTATGGATTTGGTAGCAAGGTCTGTCTCACTCCAGTGAGGAGTCTGAGAGCCTCTTGCTGATGCAGCCTTGTTTCCTATTCCTTAGGGAAAAAAACTCAGACCAAAGAGAACTGTGATTATTTTTAAATTTTGCTTGCACTTTCAAGCTTTTGGGACATCCAAAATGATGTTGTAATCTGAAACCTTACCCTAGGAAAATCATCTGCTTGGGACTTGTTTTGAGCATGACATTTGAAGGTGTTCTAGGGTTGTAAAAGTTGGTGCCAGCAATTTTCGAAGTCTGCTCACTAACCAGAAGGCATTTCACCAAAAAGAGTAAGCTGATCTTAATTCACACAATATTAAGTTCTTAAAAAAAACCTTTTCTTTGATAGATATTCTTGCAATGATGGAAAAAGTATCTTGTAGAAGTCACTGGAAGCTAAGATGGCCATAAATGAAAAGGAATAAATCAAACCCACATAGTAATGGTTATGGCACGCTTCCTTCTAGAGACAGTGGAGGTGAGACATGCCACGGATTCTAACATGAATGCTTACATTTTTGAAAGTGTGTCTTTTCTGTAAACAGCATGGTATGCTACAAGCAAGCGCAGTAACCACTGCCATGCTGATGTAGTGCTTTAGCCTATATAAATATACATGTATACATGCACATATATAAAATATGAGTGCCTTGTTGATTTATTGAGGGGGTTGTAATGGGACTGTAGGAGACCATACTTGCCTAACATGAAGTAAATTATACAGGTGAAGATGATGCTTGGTATAGTCCTCATGGGTATTAAATCAGCCATTAGCTTTGAGATTAAATACGGGGATGTTCCGTAGTACCCGCTGATATATTCATGTCTGGAACACATATTACAAATTTAATCACTAAAAAACAGTAAGATTATTTTCACCTGGAGACAAATGAATTCTAGCGTAAACTGGAAAAAAAGAGTTCTTTCACAGTTAGGCTGTAATGCAAATGTCCACTAAGCCACACACTTTAATAATGGTGGCATTTTCACATGCAAATGAATATGGATACTTGTGCGCATAGTTTCTAGTAAATGTATGTGTTGTGTCATCAAAACAGAGAGAGAGGGTAAAGCTCAAATAATTTTCCTTTTCTGTACAGTGTAATCTGCATAGCTTTAAAGAATCCAGTTAGGTAGTATTTACTGTCCTCACTATCAAGTCGCAAACTTACTAATCAATACCTAAATTGAGTATTCAGGGTTTTTTTCCTACATTTGTTAATAATTTTAAACTCTTGAGCTGTTTGCAATCATAGGTACTGTTTTGGGGATTTGCAGACAACTCACTAACAGGCTAAAAGAGTACATTTGCAATGTGCAGTAACAGTGAAATAATTTGAAAACTCTGCACAATTAGCTACAGCAGGGCAGCCAAACAAACCTGATAACTTTTTCATGTGTTTTACTTACATAAATATCTTTTTTTCCGCAACAAAGAGTTCAATAGCTGAGATGCTGCTGAAACACTGGTTGGTGGTCAGAAAGAACATGGCACCCACTCTACAAAAAGCAAACCAGCAAGCTGTTATTAAAAATGTGATGTAAATGTAGTGTTTCCACTACAGCGTACATTAAATCCAACCGTAGTGCCTGGAGCTCGGCAGTATGTGACCTCCCATCCCGAATTCCACAGGAGAAGGCTTGGCTACAAGTCTGAGTCCGTAACAAGCCTGAAGTAGATGTAGTACAGGCAGTATTTGTTATTTGCATGCAAAGATAGTATGTTCTCTGATGCAGTCAAAGGTTAGAAAATGAACAGATTTTCCTTAATTTTTTTCTTCTGTAATTTCCTGACACGTTAAAAATTCTGAGTCTGTGAGGCATTTGTCTGATGCAAGCTGCGAGGAACTGAATAAGCAATGTGAGAAGTTGTTTTCACCTTTCCACTTTCTTCCTAGAGGCAGAAGAACATCCTCACTTTGAAGTCACTAACATAGGCTTGGCCTTACCTACTGACGTGAAGTGAAGCATTTGCTTTAAAGAGGTACAATATATTTCATAAAGGGCTCACAGGTTCCTTCTCAGCCTCCAAGCTGTTCGTTATCCTATCACAACAATGAGGGAGCTTTATCAAATTTTTGGATATCCATCACCTAAACTGACTAACCTGTTCTGTAGTCCAGCGGAGTCCTTTTTAAGTCCAAAGAAAATGGCACCTACAACCAGTCCCAGGAAAGCCGCAACACACAGCTAAATGTAAAAAAGAAAACAAGGCGAAGAGTATTATTCTCATTGCTTTCAAAGCTTCAGTAGTTTTTTTGAAATATGTAGAAGGTGAGTGTAGATTGACAGGAAGCGTTTTCAGAAAGGAGAAAAACTGGGAAAGGAGTCAATGGGGCAGTTAGCAACCTGCAGCACGGCAGTGCTTTGACTCTTGCACCATGGTATCCTTCAAGAGGTGTCTGTGAGACACAGCAGCTCCCCAGTGCCACCTGCCCTTGGTGGTGGCCAGCCACCGCTGCCTCACGTGGGCAAGGCACTGGGATGGCTAGAAAGGAGGGACAGTACAGGAAATTCAGCTGCTGTCACTCTTCTGTGGTGGCACTGGCAGGAGGCACATTCCTGCAGCAGTATCACAGCTTTTCCCTGACCTCCTGCTGGGACAGATCTATGACCTGAGGGAACTGCTCTGGGAGTGCCGGCAGGGTGCTAGCACCAGCGATGGGAGGAGGGCGATAGCAGGGGCTTGGTGGGGCAGGTTAGAAAGAGGGAATAACACCTTTCCCCAGAGGAACCCCAGCATCACATGCACCTCAGCCGAGCTCCTTTCCCCCACCACCGTTTCAGCCGTTCTTGGATGTTGTGATTAGGTTAATTGGTGATGTATTGCAACATTGCTCCTCGCTCTCTGCTGATACTTTCCACCATTCATCCTCATTGGGACAGTCAGTGACTCCCCATCTGCTGTCAGTGACAAGGGTAACTTCAGTGCTAGGGCTGACCACAGCTCTTCAGTGCAGTGCTTCTGCAGGGGTTTCTCTGGAGGCATCTCAATGCTACTTTGAGCTTGGCAACCAATAACCAAAAGCAGTCTTCCCTGACTGCCGGGTTGGGGATGACAGTTTATTTTCATCCTCCACAGTGTGTAATTGCTGGGCTCTATCATACATCTTACTCACAGGATTGTTTTTAACATGAGTTAAGATACTACAATCAGGCTACAGGTGGACTGATATTTGCAGTCTGTAACACAATTTAAAAAGCAAAGATACCAGCTGCCTGAAAGATATAATTTAAAAGACTGAAGTGCGTACATCACACTCTTTTAATGCTAAATGCAAATGACAAAAATCTCAACAAAACTGATGGTATCAGGCAGTTCTGTCATTTTTAAGCGTGAGCAGTGCATGAATCATAATACCATAAACCCCTTGATCCATGGTACCCTATCACTAAGATCCTGCCGAAAGCGGCAAATGTCAGGGATAATTCAGCTCCTAAGCCAATTGCAATGGAAAACAGGGATCATATCAAGACCAATTTGGAGCAGATTAATGAAAAAAGGCTTAATGAGCCATGTACCTCTCAAAGAATGCTTGTAAAATCCATCCCTAATGAGGGTGGGGAGATAGAAAAGATTGTGAGAAACAAGTCAGGACCATTAACCTTGGGGTATTACGAGATCCTTGAGAGTCTAATTCTTGTCACAAGGTCAAGCTTTTACAAAGCAATTATTAAGGATCTCCATAGTATCAACATGCAGACACACACACATACTCAAAGCCTTTTAACCTCGGGGATTCTGGACTCATTTCCCCTCTACACTGGCCATTTTTCACTCATTATATAAACCATGATGATGATAATTTATACCCCTGGATCAGGACCAGTTTTTCTATTTGCTTCTCTAGAATTGCTGAGAATTGCAGTGGGAGTTTTCCTGGTGCTGGGACTGCAGAGTTTGGCTTGTGAATTACGGGATTCCTGAGGATTAGTCGCTCTGCAGAGGTCAACCAGGCATTCTTTATTTTTGAAGGCAATGTGCAGCTTTGAAGAAATCAACACTTTTGGTGTTCATTCTTCTCAAAAAGCTGCACTAACAGGGCCAGTTATGTAGAGCATGCTCATCTTCCATGGCAGGTGTTAGACCCTCTTGTAGTCTTCATCACATCTTCTCCAGAAGACATCATTGCCATTACGAACAGCCAAATGACCAAACAACACACACATTACGAGACTGTGAAAATATTTTTACACTTGAGCCAACTGCGAGCACTTCATTGTATGCTGAAGTTTAATTAAATATGCAAGTGTAGTCTGTTAACTTTCCCTGGTGGGGGAGAAGATTTGAGGCCAAACCCCGCAGTGGCAAGCCTGCACAATTACAGTTGAGTCTGGAGAATGTTGTTGAGCAAATGTGTGAAACTACTTCGGAGATAATCTGCTCCTGGCCTGGAGCAGCAGAATGCCCTGCTGCAAAAGATCATGCCTCCCAAAGTCTTTCAGTAGTCCCAAATTAATTACTGAACAGTCCCTCATGCTGCTCATTTGGGAGCATTCAGGACACCTTCTAGTGAATCAGATTTCCAGACCTTGAACGCACTTTTTTCAGATGCTTACTGCAGTCAAAATACCAAGATGCAAAACCATCCCAATGACTTATCTAATACAGGAGTGGAATAAATTCAATGTGTACCACAAAAGGATAGATACAAATAGCGTTACCTGAGCTATGGAGGCTTGAGGGTTTCCTACCAGATTTTTAAATGTGCGCTTGGACACCCATTTCAGCTGATGAAGGAAGGAATTGGCATACGTGATTTGTCGGAACACTGCTTTTGTTTTCTTTTTATTTCCCAAAGAAATATCCTCTAATACTGCTTTTGTTTCTCGGTAGTAGGCAGAGTTGGAGTATTTTTCTGCTAACTTCTCAGCCAACGTTTTATCATATTCAGTCCATTCTTCAGTGCTCTCTGCTGAAAAGGTTAAAAAGAAATATGGCCGTTTCTGTAAGGGATGGGCAGATTGTTTAGGAGTTAAGCCAGGAGAGTTATGTTGGGGTGGAAAAGTTACTAACGAACCAGAAGAATTAATATGCACATTTAGTTCCAGTGATTCATTGCATTCAGTCTCATAGCATGCAATTCAAAAGAGTCAGTATAAACAAGACCAAACCTCTGTGTTTGTCTGTGCAACCTGTCCCACAGGCAGTGGCTTCACAGCAGACTGTGTAAACCCTTGTCTGCTGATGAAGTTTCAAAGTGGCAGCAATCTGAATTTTAATCAAAAAGTGATTCCTCCCCCAGTTTCTGTAAGTGATCTGTTTTGCAGATCTGATGAGGTAATCCTAGACCTCCCAGACTCTGAGATTCAGGTAATCCTGCATGTGTCTACTTCAAACTTTTAAACTGTCATAAAGAAATTTCAGCTGGAGCTCCTTTTATTCCCAGCTGTAGTCCAGTGTGTGCTTTTCCAATGACAAATACGTGTGTTGCCAGCTATAATATTAGTCAGACCCTAAACACAGTCAGCATTTTTGTAAAATGCTGGTTGCTTCTTTGGAAAAGATACAGTGAAACTGTGTGTTTGGGCACATAGCATATTCATTACTTCATTTCCCTTTTCACTCGTGAAAAGAGGGTGTGCTATTAATGAGTAGCAACAGACAGGATGAAAAAGCAAGCTACTGAACATAGATGAGTTTTGATTTGTTAGTTTGGGGATAATTTCTGCCTTACCACAACTTCAGGGAAGCATCAGGAGAACACTGGTCCCCTATCTCTACCCCCTCTTCCCACCCTACTCAGAGGAAGGAAAACAGTAATTTCATGACAGATAAACCAGATAAGGGAAACAATACAAGTCATAACTGCATCAAATTATGTGTCTAACTGGAACAGTTATGTCCCTAACTGGAACAGTTGTCCTGGTTTATCATCTCTGCTTCTGCAGGACTTCAGTTGGTTTGCCTTGAAGATGAAAGAAGCTCTTTCTCTGTGTTGAGAGGTAACACAACAGTTTCTTGTATTCCCAGATGTTACAACTTCAACACAGGAAGATACTCTTTCACCTTTAACATCTCATAATTTCAGCATGACACAAAAGTATACAGGTCAGTTTATGAAGAAATGGATAGCAATGATAAATTAATAAATACCTATTTATGAGAGGCAAACTATTCTTGCATAGACAGGAATATTTTATATAGTAGGGCTGTATGTGAATTTGGTACTTATTTCAGGTTATGCTAATTATTTTCCACATATAGAAAAAAGGATTTAGGAACTGTGTGGGTCTTTTTTTTCCTTTAAAGCAACATGGATCAGCAGTACGTAATGCTCTCATGCATACAAAGAACTGTATGCTTGTACAACATGGTTATTGGTTGTTTGACACCTGTAAGTGATTTTTCCGTGTTGTGCTGGACGCCTTCTGGCAAAATACATGTTATGATGATTTCACTCAGCTCTGGGTTTCATACCTGTGTTAGTTTCATTGGTCTTGCTCATTGCCACTGCAGTGGAGTCTCCATTAATGACGTCCAGGAAAAAGTCGGCAGGGTTGTTGTACGGCTCACATTCGTAGCCTGTGGTGACAGAATTACAAGCCCTAAGCGGTGGTTGTGTGACTGGCAGAAGGCTGTGTGTGGCCATCATGAACACAGCCATACCATTGTGCCCATTGAGCAGCCTGCACCATAAACATTGCAGGCTTCAAAAGGTCTGTGCTTACCCAAGAGATGAATGGCACTGCTGGACAGCTCTGTCAGTGAAAGCAAGGTGACAGCTGGCAATGTGCCCTTCTCAACCCTAGCCTGGGCTTTGTCTAATTAAGATGCACCCAGGAACAGTTTGATTAGAGGTCAGCCCTATCATCCAAACCCACATATGGGTCAAGAGGTGAAACACCAAGAGAAATGCTTAGCCTGTTAAAATCCTGGGCTTGCTAATACACACTATGTCCAATTCTGATCGAGCGCTATTGGCATTGTATTCAAGTTAGTGCAAACTAAAGAAGTTGCTGCAGTTGGCCCTGCTGTGAATTGTGCTCACCGATAGACTGGAAGTACTCAATGGCGTGCTGAGCAGGCCCGTGGTACAGCACTCTCCCTGCAGCCAGCAGCGTCAGGTTGTCAAACAGTCGGAATATGGAGTACCGAGGCTGGTGGATGGAGAAGATTATTATTTTTCCTTGTTTTGCCATCCTGAATGTGAAGTGAAGAATGACAAAGATGTTAGCTTTGCAAGTCGATTCAGCATTTAGATAAGAGAATTTGCAAGTTCAGTTAAGCCTTGGTTAAGTTTGATTAACTTGGCATGCCAGAGAGGGGAGGGGGAAGGAAAAAAAACCAAAACCAAAAAAGAAAATATTTAGGTCATATTTACAGTGTCTGTGTGAGAAAAGAAAGTTCCCTCTCACTGGGAATGTTGTTGGAAGGGAAGGTCCCAGGAAGATTTTGATGCAAACAAAAAGCTCTGGAGACAGATGTTTGAGTCCTCTTTGCTTGTAGTAAATGCAAAATGATGTAAAATTGCAAATAGAGAGTGTGTTGTGCTTGATTTCCCAAAGAGAGGCTTGAGGTTTTGTGATGGGGAAACAGCTAGCAGTGTTCTAACTACTGTCCATATTAAAATTGATCACCTTACCAGACTGTACAACAGGTATTTTTATCACTTTTCTGGCCCAGGCAGACATGAAAATAAATGAAGCTGTCCGCAACAGCTATCATAAACAAATTGTAGTCCTGGCATGCACACACTTTGTGCAAGGCGCTTTGTGTACTGCTGCGAGCAGCTGCTTTGGAATGAGAGAATTCATACAGCCTTTTTCCTAACCCCTTTGCCGCCTTGGCTTGCTGGTAAACAATTACATGTCTGATTTTCTCATTTGCTCATTCTAACTGTAATTTAAGTCAATTACAACTGAAACATAGCAGAGTTGAGCGGTGAAAACAGGAAGCTGTTTCCAAGGCCATCACCTTTTCAGTAGCAGTAGGACAGCATTAGCAGTGCTGGCATCCAGTCCTGTAGTTGGCTCATCCAAGAACAAGATGGCAGGATCTGTGATGAGCTCCATCCCAATACTGGTCCTTTTACGCTCTCCTCCAGACACCCCACGAGTGAACTGGGTGCCAACCTGCCACAAAACAAGAAACTTGTCTCATTTGGCCTGATAACAGATACTTGAGTGAAGAGCATCCTACTGACATGGCAGCATTTGGGAAGAGTTGTAAGAAGTTTTGACCCTTCTCTCAGGTACAGATGTAGATGTTACCTCACACATAGGCTGTTTCTTAACATTAGTATTACTTGAGGTGTTCTCTTTTTCTCCAACCACAGACTACCTCTCCCCTTCCACGCAATGTAATAGCATATGGCAGTATCAGCGTAGAGTCTGTACAGATCGCCATACAGAAATTAGTACTGAAATTGTTTAATTTTACTTTTTTAAATCTGCCATGCTGAGCCATTTGGTTAATTAAATAAATCACGTAATATTTGTTCTGATTAAACACCATGTTTACACAGCTTACCTTGGAATCTGCCACTTTGCTCAAACCGAGTTCCTTGATAATCTGGTTCACTCGTTCATTTTTTTCCTGTTCCTTCACTGACTTTGGCAAACGGAGTGCTGCTGAGAACTTCAAATTTTCTCTTACAGTCAGGGTTCCCATCACCACATCATCCTTCATTTAAAAAAAAAAAAAGTAGATATTTGGTGGTTGCTTAGTAATTTCTATTTTTCCCTCTGAGAACTGCATCTACCTGTGTTTTATGTTGTCCTTGCATGCAGAGGGACAGAAGCAACTGCCGGAACACGCAGTAAAGTGCATCTTCAATGTCTGTGTTATAGCAGAGAGTTTATTTCATGCATGCAATTATATTTGCCTATTCATAAAGCAATGCAATACAGGAATGTCCTCCATCATACATGATATCAAAATGCATAAATAACAATGTATTCAAAACTACCCCTCATGTATTCTTGCCTTATTCAGTTTTTTGGAGGTATTGAGTGAGATACTGAAGGGCTAAAGGGACCTAAGGAGCAGCTACAGCTCATGTCACTACCACTGTGCGCTTGTTAGTGCAGCCTCAGCCCACCACAGGTAAGAGCAGGGAGAAGAGAAGGAAGGTCCAGGACAGTGGGGTAGGGTGAAGGCTTTCTGAGCTTGTTTCAGCAAAGGAGGAAGGAGGGTAGGTTTTTTAGATATTAGCTGCTTGTGTCTTGCAAAAGGAATCTGTCAGATGTAGGAATTTCAGAGAGTTATGTGTGTTTTGAGACACTACCTTTGTGTAACATGCTGACTGTACTTTTATAAGGGGTTTTCATAGATGCACCTCTTCAGGTCTTGATAAACTGTAAGCATGCTGCTGAGCACAGGTAGTGGGCAGGGGAAAGAAATGAAGAGAGGGATGCGGTTTTCTTTCTTTTGTACTTCACACGTCTTTCTCTCCAGCCCATCCTGGCAGGATAAAGGTTTTCTCAGAACGGGACTTATAGAATCATAGAATCATTTAGGTTAGAAAAGACCTTTAAGATCATCCAGTCCAACCATTAACCTAACACTACCAAGTCCACCACTAAACCAATTAAGGGTAGAGTAATAATTTCATGTTTCCTGGCTTGGTGGCTGGATTATTTTTTAATGAAAGTAAAACTAGAATAGAATCATTAAGGTTGGAAAGGACCTCTAAGATCATCAGTCCAACCATCAACCCAACACCACCATGCCTACTAAACCATGTCCCAAAGTGCCACGTCTACACGTTTTTTGAACACCTCCAAGGATGGTGACTCCACCATCTCTCTGGGCAGCCTGTTCCAATGCTTGACCACTCTTTACATGCAGAAATTTTTCCTAATATCCAATCTAAACCTCCCCTGACGCAGCTTGAGGCCATTTCATCTCGTCCTATCTCAAGTTAGGGAGCAAGAGACCAACAAGCAAGGGAGAAGAGACCAACACCCACTTCACTATAACCTCCTTTCAGGTAGTTGTAGAGAGCAGTAAGGTCTCGCCCCAGACTCCTCTTCTCCAGGCTAAACAATCCCAGTTCCCTCAGCTGCTCCCCATAAGACTTGCTCTCTAGACCCTTCACCAGCTTTGTTGCCCTTCTCCGACTTGACATTGTCCCTGGGCAAGCAGAGGTACAAGCTGTACATTACCAGAAAGCATGATGCTTGGAAAATACTCTATGCATAGTGGTAGCCTATGGCTGTTCCCCCAAATGGAGAACAAGGAGGGATCCAAAGCATCCACTCCTGTTGACTGTAGAGCATTAAGGAAGAGACTCAAATACAAAGCAGGGTCTCTTTCCCAGTGAGGGTGGACATGTGGAGAGTTAGTACTGCACCAGCATCAATTCTTGGACCAAGGCAAGGTACGTGCAACACTGCAGCAACTTCTTACAACTGCAGTCAGAAGGGGACAATAAAATTCAGAGTGATAAAAATTATTTACCTGTACTACATATCCAGAGGTACATTTAAAGTTGGCAGGCTGAGGAGCTCCATTGATCAAAATGTCACCAGAAAGCCCATGGGGATCCTTCCTTGCGGCCAAAATGTCAAGTAGACTAGGAGAAAAGTTGGTTACTTTGTCAGATGAGTGTGCAGGAGGTAAGCTCTCTGAACCACAAACTGAGTTCATGGAATGAACAGCTACATAAAAGCATCCCATGTTAAACATGTGCTGTTTAGAAAACCCCCAGCAACTTTCAAGGGCTGAGTTTCTTTTGTCCTGGTTTCCTAAGGAAATGAGATCTGTGCAATTTCATAGTGTATTTGTGTCCATTTGCTCAATAATATGAGCTTAACCTAGAATGATACATAAAGATCATTTATCAGGAAAGTGCGGACTAAAATTTAATTACATCTTTGTCATGTAAGCTGATTGTCTTTTTTGAATTCAGGTATTTCTCAGAAACCAGTGAGATGTGCACAGACCTAAATGAAAACCAAATCTTTCCCTGAAAGTGTTGTCCATTACTGCTAAATATGTTCATTTTCTGCTTGGTGTAATTTCTGTGTAGGGCAAAGAGGGCACTTACAAAGATTTACCACTGCCGGTGGGTCCCAAAATTGCATTCAGTCCTGGTCTCATGATGCCACTGTAAGACAAAACAAATAGGTTTTACAAGATAGGTAGTTTTTATCTCTCTGACTGTTTCATCTGGTAGGCTAGTGTAAATTATCTGTAGAACTACCTTCTGCATCCCATTAATTTTGGAATTAATGAAGCTGCCTGATCACAAACAATATTTATGATCAGTCAAATTCCACCTTAATTTTTGTTCCTAATTCAAGGAGAACTAATCTTCGTATAATGAAGACAACACAGAAACTTGAGTAAAATGTAACAAAACCTGTATGCATGCTTTTCCCCCATGGATCTCTAGAAGTGGAGCACACACTTGCTTCAACCGCATTCAGTTCTAAAGGTATTATTCTCTTAGCAGAGAGAATAATGGTTCCTGTAGAGAGAACATACTAGGGATTTGTCTGTACTTACAGAACTGCAGTTGATAGTTTCACTGTACCTGATTTTAAGCCACATGAAACTCAAAAGCCAGATAGAAAAGGGTTTCAAGTGTTTGGGGAAAAGACCCTATAGAAATGAAGTATATGGAAATACTGCTGCCTTTTTTTTATCTTTTTGCTGGAGCATGTGAAGACATCACTGCTATTTTTCCTGACTAGTCCCTAAAACCTGCGCTGAACAAGCTTTGGTGTACACAAGAATCATGCTGCACATACAAATGCCTGTGTGTATGTTATGATACCAGGTGTATCTTGAACTGCACTCTGGTACTGGTTGTTATCAGCAATCCAGGTATCAGCGATCTGAGTACTTGGCTGTGGGTCTGGCCCAGTAGAGCTGTTCTTACGGTCTAATGACATACGACCTTGGAGGCTTGGTTTTGCTCTTCCTGATGCATATTTGTTTCCTTCGATTTCTTATTCTGGTAATTTATGGTTCCACAGATTAAGAAGCATACACACTATATATACGTTACATTACGTTATGTGTGATTTTAACACACAAAACCAGTATGTAACAAAACAAATGCAGATGTTGCATTTTCTAAAAGGGAAAAGCATAATGTGTGTTAAACGTTGGTCTTTTGCAATAAGCCACAGGAGGAGCCTTCTGCTCACGTGGTTGCAAGTGACCAATGTCAGTCAATTGAGTTACCATAATGTACAGATCTTGAAAGGAGTAGGAAAGATTTTGAGAACTCATGTTTAGGAGGTGTGGAAATTGCTTGGGCAAAGAGCAGGACAGACAGAGCTACACAAAAGGGTGAATATTTATGATAGAAAATGGAGTTAGGGAGCTGAAAGTCATGGGTGGCTTGGAATTGCATGTTCTGTGCATACTTGCCACTTAGCTTAATTACTGAACTGTGAATGGGCAAACTTTATGCACCGGTTATTGAACAAAGGCCATAATGATGTGATTCCTTTACTGCAGTAGTGCTCAATGTTGAAAAAGAACCAAAAAGAGAGAAAACTTCACATCTTTTCAAAGTTAACCTAACCCTCATTTATATTACTGTCTTAAACATTTTAATTTAACCCCCCCAGAATTAACCTTCCAAAAGGCCACCTTAGGGAAGGAGACGCGTCATCGAGGACAAGCTGGTTGTATCTCAGTTAAACACCACGGCACAGTGGGAGACTTGCCAGGTTATGTAAAACGACCACAGCTGGCTGTGTGCCCCAGTGCTGATAGCAGCCAGGAAGGCTGTCCCTCCCTGGGGCTGGGGGAGATGGCGCCCAGCACCGTGACCTCTCTGTTGTACAGGCTCAGCTCTAGTGACTGGGGCCTAGCAGGAAGCTTGAGCACAGTTCATAGCAAACATGAAGCAACCGTACATATAATTTTCTAAATCTTAATCAAATTCTGTATATTTTGCTTAGTGGCTCAGTGACATGAGTGGATTCAACTGTCCGGATAGAAATAAAACATACACATACTCTAAAGAGATGTTTAAATACATACTTGACGTCTCTCAAAACTTCTTTATCAGCTGTTTTTTGACAACACAGGAACCCAGTCTTCAACTTCACATGGTAGCAGATGTTGTGGAAAGTTAGCATGCTTCCTCCCCTGCTGGCTAAGTCTGGAGAGGACTGCTTTCTGCTGGGGATGCCATTTGTATCCAAGTCTGACATCTGAATACTTAGGTGTGGCTGGCCTTCTGCCATTTTTCCTCTATAAATGAAAAAACAGGAGGGGGGGAAGATTTGATTAGGTATGGAGAGGAAAGATGTGTCTGTTGGGTCCAGTGTTCAGCACTGGACCTACTGTGGGCCTTGCAGATGTCCATCTAGGTCTCTCTCTTTCAGATAGGAAGTTTGGGTCCTGTGGGCTCAGACCTTGAGATGACACGGAGCTGATGGAGAGCTGGGTCTGCCATATTGCTTCCCACCACATGCGGTGTTAAGGAGGCAGAAGAGTCTCCCTCCACCCTGATGGTCTGTTGTGGTGGGTTGACCTTGGCTGGCCGCCAGATGCCCACCCAGCTGCCCTCTCAGGTGAATCTCTGCTCCAGTGCCTGGAGCATCTCCTCCCCCTCCTTCTTCACTGGCCTTGGTGTCTGCAGGGCTGTTTCTGCCACGTTTGCTCACTCCTTTCTCACAGCTGCTGCACAGCATCTTTTACCCTTTCTTAAATAGGTTTTCAGAGAGGCACTACCAGCATCGCTGACACGCTCGGCTTTGGCCAGCGGTGAGTCCACTGGCACCGGCTGGAGGCAGCTGTGTCCGGCACGGGGCAACCCTGGGTTCCTTCTCACAGAGGCCCCCCGGCAGCCCCCCTACCGCAGCACCTGGCCACAGGCACCAACTGCATCTATTCTCCCAGTACAAGGAATTAGGTACCTCTCACAGTGGGCACTAGCATGACATTATGCTCTTTCTGGGGGGCTGCCCCTGGCTGAGGGGTCTGTACATAAACTGCATGCTTGTTGCAAACCACAGGTAACTCACCGAAAGATCAGCTCAAAATTATTGAGGTCTAAAAGGACCTGGCCTTCTGCCCGCCCACTTCATCATGCTTCTTTCTAGCTATGAACATGCTTAGAGTTTGCCCATTAGATACCTTTTGAAAAAGGGTGGTTTGAAAGTAAAGATACTCCTCCTACCTCTAGCACTCCTGCTACAAAATCTAAAAATTGCTGGTTTATTTTTTTAATCAAAATAATTTTGCCAGGGGTAGGAACATGGAAACTGACACCACTGCCATGTAATTATCATCCTTGGATTTGCTTTTCATGTAAAAACCAGAAGGTAGTTGTGGAATAATTAAAGTTATCTCACCTCCCTTGTCAGCCAGGCTCCTGCCTGTGAGCCATTCACCTGCACCGTGGGGGCATCCCCAGCTGTCCCTTGTGCATACAGACCTTTGTCCCCTTTGTGCTTCCTAAGTGGCCCAGGGTCATTTAGGTGAGAGGCGGGATCTGGCCTCTCTTTATGTATCATGTTGACTCATTGGAGTCTAATTACTTTAATTGTCACTAGGGGAAATGTTAATAATGCAGTAGTTCATGGGAACCAAGAGGAGAGATGAGCAGCTAGGAGCTCTGGGATGATCAGTCCTGTACCTTAGCATAGATTACTGCTTTCAGCAAGGAAGAAGGCACATTATGAGACCATTTCCATTTCAGACATGCTGAATCAATTTGAGAGCCGTTAATGAAATGAGCCTTGCAAAAAAAAGCCGTTTAATCTAATGCAGTCATATGGTCACATAAAAAAACGAAGCCCTTATCTGGTTGGTTTGCTAAGGCTGCTTGACAGACAGCTGAACTCTCCTTTGTGGCTATCAGTGCAGTGAAACTGCTGGAAACCCCACTTTCAGCAACAGGCCTATCTGCATGTAAAGGCTGGTTCATCTGTCTCCCAACGATGCTATCCCAAATCTAGCCCAAGGTTGCCTCTTCTGACAAAACTGCAGTCTTCTGTGCTGGCAAAATTATAAGGTCTTAATGTTTTAGTAATCAGTAATCTTGGCCCAATTTTCCTACAACGAGAAGAAACTGTGTTCCAAATACAATTATAATGGGACAGCTTTAATTTCAGCTAAAACAGATTTTGAGTAAGTTGAATATAAATTAAATGTGCAACATTTAAAGTCTGGAGGCCTTTTATTGATAAACTGCTTACACTCTTCTCTACTTGTGCTGGAGAAGACTTACCTACCTGCAGGAAGGCAGCTGATTTTATAAGGTTATTTATATAGTAGTTTCTGAACATCAGTCATTGCCATTTGAAAGGATGCTTTGATAAAGTAGAGATGTGCATTCAGAAAAGCAGTGGGAACTTTTCACTTAAAGTCTCACTGTATGCTGAGCAGATGTTTTCTAGCATGCCGAGCAAGGTACCAAACACTCAACTGCAGAGTCAACACCACAGATGGACATTACAAAATCCCTTGAACTGCTGCATAACCAGCAGCATGATGTGAGCGCAGAATTCTTCATCAGACAGTGTGACTCTGGCCTTGATGCATCACTGCATTTATAAGGTATCTAGATCAGTATTTTACTTGATCAGATTTTTTTTCTCAGCTTAATGTTTCAGTATTACTGATGTAATGTTATGAGCAAATTAGGGAGAGTGAGGTGGAGTCTGACCTCAGGCATTATCTAGAATAGTTAAATTTTTCTTTGTTTCATTTGGGTTTGTTGTTTTTATTTTCCAAAGACCAGCATAAAAACCTAACTCAGCACTTGCACTGAAATTTCAGAAATGCTCTTTAGAAAATAAACTTTTCATTTAGGAATGAAACAGGTTCAATCTTCCAGACTGACTTGACTGGCAGACAATAAGCACAGGATCAGAAACTATTTTCATAAATACAGGATCACACTACTTTCACAGAGTTGTTCTTAAGAACAGACAGTATGTTGAAGTTAAATTTAATTTACCAATCAAGTTGTTATTAGATTGTACACTCTTTGCAAAGAACAATGCAGAAGCTAGGTAAACAAATCAGCTCAAGAAGGATTAGACATGTCCATAGCAGACAGTCCCTCAATGGCTATTTAATACAGCTGTCAGCAGGACACTGCCCGAGCCCACCGATTGCCCAAATCTGCCAGAGAAAAATAGTGTTCTTTGATACCGTCCCTTGCGAAGGCACTGGTTACTGGCAGCTATGAGTAGAGGCTGGATTCAGGTCTAGCTGGACCTCTGGTGTAAATTGGCATGGCCCTTCGTGCCTGCACTGCACTTGTGCTACTTGCAGTGACAGGGTGGGATGCTGTAGGTGGAGGACACAGATTTGTCTGTGTGCTGTTCCTCCTGATGGCTGCCCCTTCAGGGAAAGGTGTATTTGTGGGCATATGCCACTTATCAAAGTAAGAAAAATCTATTTCAGATGTTAGGTTAATAATGAAAATAGCATTTTACACTTTCAGAGCTACTCGAATTTATTGCAGAAAGAAATTGCAGAATTCTTACTTGCTTAAAACTGGAATGGTTATTTATCAGTTGCTCTATGAAATCTGTGTTAGCCGTCTCTCTTCACAAAGAAACAACTCTTGCAAGGACTCCGTCACAGCAGCTCCTTGGGATGACAGAATGACAGAGTTCTGGACATGCAGGTGGGAAGGGGCCTTGGGAAGTCCCATAACCCAGCTTCTCCCTCCGAGCGGGACTGTTGCCAACATGAGATCGGGGCAGCCGTGGGTCTGCCTCGGTAACTTGTGGAAACCTCCAAGAGTGGCGATTTGGATCTCGGCTAACAGTGTGCTGAGAGAAGATGAAGTGCTAAAAGCAGAACTAACACCTGTGTGCTAGAGTTAGGCTTTTGATTTGCCTTTCTTTTTTGGACACCTTTTTTTCACTGTGGAGTAGGTATGTGCAGTGAGATAAACAGTTTGGTATTTTACAAACCAACCTTTCCATTTCTGATCTAGCAATAAACTTCACCATAGGAATACAGGGGCATGCTCCTTTACAGCTAATATAATTGTCAGCTGTTTGCAATTGCTCCTTAGGATTGGATTTTTTTAAAATCTTGCTTTAGGCCTTGTTTAAAAAATTATTTATTGCATTTAATGTGACATACAGCCATGAAAGATTTTAAGTAGAGCATGTGCAAGACAAAGAAACAACCATGATGAATGTTAATCAAATCAATTTCTATGCGAACTAAAATTCTTTAAATGAAGTTCCCTAGAATTCATTGCAAATGCCTTACAAATATCTACTTTAGATCAGAAGTGAGCAGGAGATTCAATGATAATAGGTACTGCCTGCTGTATTCAGAAATATTCATTAATATGATAAAGTGTTTCATATCCTCATATCAAGTCTGGGTATAATATATTATTTTTGCATCAGCTAAATATAAATTTTATGAACTCTTTCGGAATTTTACAAATTTAATTTGTTTTCCCAAATCTTTCTAAAATGTTTTTATTGCTACTGATTTCAGCATCAATTTCGGTTCAAGCCTAATAGAAAAACCTTTTCTTCAGAGATATTTAGTCTCAGAAAATTTTGTCAGGAGGCAAAGTACTAGATCTTGAGATTTAACTTTTTATTAATGGCAAAATGAAACTACTTTTGTGAAAACTATCATGAAATCTGCCCACTGTTTTGACGCACAGAAAATGAAACTCTCAGTACGGTCACTTTCCTGTGTATTCTTCTGAGACTTGTAAAGTACAAAGTGTCATTTTCCCTACGTATACATACACAGGGGCACTAAACAAAAACATAAAACAACAACAAAGTTACATCGACTTAAACTTACTTGAACCACAGCAATACCATACCTGGGGTCTTTCAAGCAATTTCAGTAAACCTATTTGTATGCCTTAAGATATATTGCCTGTATAAAAAGCTAAGTAACATTTATTCCTGCCAGTCTTCCTGCAAAGCTTTTGGCACCAGAAAGGATCTGCAGTTCAAATAGAAAAAACAATACTATAGGAGTGGTAGTAAAATTTTGAATGGCAAAATTCAGAAGTGCATTTTAATTGATTTTTTAAAATCCAGGCAGTTATTCAAAGTATTTTACCTCTATAGAAAATAAGCATTGAAATTACTTAAGGAGGAAAAGACACAAGCAGCTTTCAGCAGAGTTTTCTAAAGCAAGCTGGCTCAAACCCTTTAAAAAAATAGCCTGGTTTCTTTTTTCTGAATATTTGAACCTGCCAGAGAAACCACAATTAAGTGAGCTGTCATTTCTCTTA